CTTCCCACCCACCATAGCTGATTGGTCAAAGCTCAGACACCTGACCTGGACTGAGCCAATCAGATTTTTTCCCTGGAAATTCAGACTACTGAATTGGGATTTGGGGGGAAGGATTGTAGGAGCCAAACCAGGAACTAGACTCTATATTTTCCAAGAACTGAGTATTCCTTGGATCCTTTGGAGTTCTCCAGATGCTCATTATTCTAATAAATTCACCCCTTTCCTGCCTGCCAGCTCCTCTTCTTTCGTTGAAATCTCATTTTGAATTGTTTTTGTCATTTGCAAACCAACGAACCTGAACGACCCAGTCTCTAGCGCAGATCACTGCTCATCACTTCTGGGCAGCAGGTCAGGTCTTCACGTCATCTCTTCTCACCAAGGGGCACCACAAAACGTCCAGAGCCTAGAAGATGAAGGTGCCAACACTCTGTGTAAACTGGAAAGCTCTCAGAGGGTGAAAGGCGACTGAGTTGTGATTTTTTGACTATAAAAAGAGAGTACAAGCCAAGTTCAGAGTCTGCTTCTTTAAAAGCATCCATAAGGCTATAGTTTCATGAAGTAAATTTTGTTTGCAGAACTGGAGTTGAACCCAGGCCCTTTACATTAAGCTATCTTGTCAGCCCCTTATTTTTTTTTTTATTTTGATACATAGTATCACTAAATCATGGGGTTGCCAGGCTAGGATGGAACTTGAGATCCTCCTGCCTCGGCTTCCCCAAGTGTTTTGATTACAGGTATGTGCCACCAAGCCTGGCTCCATTAGAAAGTTCTCTGAACCTATTCATAGCCTAGCTTTTTCATCATGGCCAAGTGGGGATGTGACATGATCTCATATAACTAATGTCAAGGTTGATGCTAAGTTATTAAGCTATAAAAACATAAAGGGTATTGCACACAGAACTAGTGTCATCCAGTAGAGAGAAGAGAATAAAAATCTTCACAACCAGCCAGACTTGGATTGGAAGCGCAGCTCTGTTACTCACCAGCTTTGTGACCTTGGAAATATTGCTTAATCCCTGTAAGCCTCAGTTTCACCATTCATATAATAGAGACAGTATTGGTCTCTATGCAGGAAGTTGTTATGAGGACTAATTTGCATACAGTGCCAAGCATATAGTAAGTGCTCAGTAAAAGGTAGCTACTGCTAGCACCTATAGAATAGGCCACTCAGGAAAAGGTCAGTGCTACTGCAGGGTAGGAGCATACCTCCACTCCCATTCTTCACACTTGGAACAATTCTGCCACCACCACTTTTGAGCCCACCCACATTTCCCACCCCCCGTCAGTAGGTTTTCAAAAACAAGACCGAGCCTATAACATCTGTCCTCTCATTTCATTCATTATTATGAAGCAAAGTCTATTGTCCCCGTCACATAGGTGAAGTACCTGCAGCTCAAGAGGTTAAATGACTTTCCCAGAGCTGCACAATAGTCAGTGCCAAGCCAAAGACCCAAACCCAAACTATTTGAACCCCAGTCCCAGGCTCCAAACTGCCCTGCCAGACGGCCTCCTGGAAGACAGATGGCCGGGAGTCAGCAGTGCTGCCCAGAGAGCTGTGAGAATCCCACCCGCTGTCTTCGTTCCCTTGTCAACAAGAGTTTTCCAGTCTGCGGGCCTCAGCTTGGAGGCCGCTGACCATGTGTGACTACAGAACTCTGCTGACGTGGCTGGCCTGCACCGAGATGTATGTGGGAAACACAAGTTGGATTTCAAAGACATACAAGAATCAAACTGCAAAATACCTTTTTGATAATATTTCATACAGACAATGTGTTTCCTGATAGTTTTAAATAAACACCATTGGGTTAAAGTGCTTCCCAATTTCATGTTTCTTTTTCCCATCTTAATGTGGCTACTAGAGCATTTGCCATGATATCTGTAGCTTGTAGTGTGTTTCTGCCAATCAGTAATACTCTCAAGGGAAGGCCTACTATGTGCAAGAGGCCTACTGTGTGCAAGAAGCCTACTGTCCACAAGAGGCCTCGGGCTGAAAGTAAAAGAGAAGTTAGGGAAGGACACAGGCTTCAGAGGGCTCTGTTTCTCAGTCTGTGTAGCTAAATGTGCCAAAGCCTAAGCTGTGTGTCAAGGGGCCAGGTGTGCAGATCCGGGGCCCTGAGCATGTGGCAGATCTTCCTTGTTTCCTCCTCTGTAGCATGGAAATAACAACTATCGCTGCCTCCTGGAGTTATTTTCAAGAGCAAAGTAGGGAAATCAATAAATACTAAAATGCTAAATTGCCTGCCCCATAGTTGGTGCCACACAACCAGGGGCCGTGTTGCTCCCCCCGGGGGGCATTTGGCAATGTCTGGGGACAATGGGGGATGTCATAACTGGGTAGGGGTGCCACTGCCATCTGTGGGTGGAAGCCAAGGATGCTCTGCACCCTAAAGGGCAAAGGATACCCCGCAGCCCCCCACAATAGAAATGTCCAGTAGTGTCCAGGTTGAGAGCCCTGACACATGACCGTGACTGCTACTGTTATTAATATGATTAACACCTGTGATGATGACCCACTTAAGAGTATAACCATGGGAATCCACTTCAGGAAGGCAGGGATTTTTATCAGTCTTGATCACCTCTGTATCCCTGGTACCTAAAAGGCACATGGCACATAGTAGATGCTCAGGAAATAGTTGTTGACTAGAGAGTGAGTGGATAAAATGGCATAAGTACCACTCTGCGACACCAGAGTGGGTGCAAAAGTCCCCAGTGCTCAAAGCAAGAACCTCGGAAGCCAGTGTTCCAATCTGTGTATTTATTAATATAGGAAACACTTGCTGAGCGCTTACTAAGAGCAGCTGACTGTAGAAGGGAGAGGCCAGGCCTGTGAGGACCTGGGGAAGTGGTCAGGCAAGTCCAGTGCATGAGGTGTGTCTCGGGGGTGTCATGAGCCTGGCAGGGGGTCAGAGGGACAGAACGGGGAGCTCAGGGAAAGCACCTTCCCAAGGGGCAGACAGACTCAGGAAATGCTGCCAGGGGAAGCTTTGCTAAAATTAGATGTGGAGACGGAGTAGAAACCGACTGGCTTATCTGAACTCTCTCCTGATTTCTAGAATTCTTAAACTGATGGGGAACTCATTCCCTCCGAAGGCAGCTGGCTCCATAATTCTTATTAGAATATTCTGGCACGCTTGCCATTGCCCCCACACTCCCAGGGACTGGGGTGCAGTCACCTGAGCTCAGAGCCCCTCCCTTGTCATCCTGAAGCCCGGCTCCGTGCCCTGGGCACCTGCCCCAGGCCTGGCTCCGGAGGGCCTGTGGCCGGCAGCCCAGGCAGCTGCTGCCTCCCTTCTTGCCTCTGCTTGACAAGTCAAGCTGGCTGAGTCACAGCCCAGCTTCCCCACGTGGGGACTAGGTCTCTGCCAAGGGGATGAGCCACCTGCCAGGGAGCCCGCAAGTCAGACCAAAAGGAGCCCAGGAGTCTCGTGGAGGATTAGGACTCAGAACATTCTAGAATCCCATGCTCCTCATCGGAGCTCCCCAAGGTGTAGGCCACAGCACACAGATGAATCACGCTAGCAGCAAAACCACGCACCTGAGAATGGTAGCACAGCCCCTGTGATTGCTCTGTGTTATCGCGCCTGATTATGAAAACATGTCAGACCCAAGTGGCCAGCAGCCTTGTCTGCATAGTTTGCAACTGTGGCCCCAGTGAGCACATAGTAGGTGCTCAATGTGTCCTTTTGACTAATGCTACTTCTGCTTGTCAGTTACATGGCACAAGGAATGATATAGCTATTTGTGTGACTTTTAAATTGCTCTGTGTCCAGCACAAGGGCATGACCTAGTCTATTTTGTCCACTATTCTGTCGCTGGCACAGAATAGTGGACCCACAGGGACCCACACGCCGGCATAGGGACTCACACGTAGGTGCTCAGTAAATGCCGTGCGCAGGGGCCGGTGCTGGGCGTGCACTCATTTATCCTCGGGTGGCCTGGGCTGGGAGACTGTGCTCTTCAGCAAGGTTAGAGGTGAGACACTGAGCACCAGAGAGTGCAGGGACTTCTGACGGTCTTCCAGGCGGTGAGCACCAGGCCAGGATTGGCAGCAGGGCCATGCACTTGCACAACCTGCTTGTGCCCCAACTGCTGATGCTGCTCTCCAGCTGGGAGCAGAAGGAGCAGGGTTGGGGGTCACTGTGGCAGAGTCCTGGACACAGCCTTTTCCACACACCAGCTCGTTTTTGTCCAGAGCAGCAACAGCAAAGCCCAGAGAGGTAGAGAAACTTACTCAAGGTCACACAGCCAGCTCAGGACAGGTCTCCTGACTCCATTGTCAGAAGTGCTGCGTCTCCTACACCACAAGCTGTGGCTCAAAACTGCAATCCTAATAGAGGCAGGGACACGGGTCAGGAGAGATGGCCTGTGTTCCACAGGGGGACTCTCCTTTCCCTGGTAATCTGGCCCGGTACACTTTAGGCAAAGCCTAATCTATACTTGACTGTGTGAATTGACAACTGGCTTGCTCTTTCCATGCCTCGATTTTCTTATCTAAAAATGGACATGTTGGTACCTACTTTACAGGTGCTATACAAATCACTGACTTGGTGTCAGACTGAGCTACGTGTGTGCACGTGTGCGTGTGTGTGAGCATGTGTGTGAGTGTGTGTGTGTGAGCACGTGCGCACTGGCTTTCTTGCTGCGTGACCTTGGGGAAGAAAGTTACTTCCCTGAGCCTTTGTTTCTTCATCTGCACAGAGGAGTTAATTGGAGCTCACCTTGTGGGGCCTGTGAGATTTATGTGGGGACAATGTGGGCACCAGGCAGTGCCTGGCACATAGTATGTGCTCAATAAAAGGTAGTTGGTGGGATTGTGCCACACCAGAGGGAATGGCCCTACTCAGGATCCTGCAGGGACAGCCTGGGCACTGCAGCCATGTCCCTGTCGCTCTAGGCTGCCCCAGCCAGCTGGGGTAATCTGAGCCACCTTGTCCGTCCCGGGCAGACACTGCCTGTGCTACTGCCATAGGCTCAGGAATGAAAGAAAGGTCAGAGCCTAGGGTGGCAGGGCCTGCACGATGGAGGAGGGAGGGCTGCCCGGGGTCTGCGTGACAGCCCCGGCCTATGCCAGGGAGGCCTGAACCGGCTGGGCCTCGCTGTGCCCCCGGTCCGGCCTTGGCCTGCCAGCCTGCCAGAGCCGCCTCCCAGCCTGCCCCTGGGGAGGGGCCACCTGGTGTCAATTAAGCCCCAGTCACTCTGCACACCACGTCAGGCCGCTGATTAGTGCCGCTGGCCTCTCCAGATGGGGAGCACCGGCTGAGCAAGGCGACGCCACCATGCCCGGGTGAGGCCTCCCTGGAGCTGGTGAGTACCCGGCAGGGGGGCACTGTGCCTCAAGCAAGAGGCTGGGCATCAAGGGGAGGGGGCTCCTTGTGCGCTTCCTTCTCCTGGGGCGTCTCAGGCCCCAGCATCCTTGATCCCCTTCACCTTGGCCTAACCTGAAGGGGACCCAAGGGGACCACAGCAGGCCTGCGTCCTTCCCCTCAGGTCATGCTGCTGAGCGTCTGCAGGGGATGCGAGGGCAGTGGTAGAAGCAGGACCTGCCTGCAGGCGTTGAGGCTTTGGGCCCCAACTCCCCCTCCCCTGCCCCGTGCAGCCGGATCTCTACGCCAGCCTGTGTGGCCATCGGAGGCCACACATGTCCCTCCAGCCTGCCGGCCCCAGAGCTCACGCTGTGGGGTGGCCCGCTGGCGGCTGGCACAGGACCCTGCAGGGAGCAGGCTTGGAGAGGCTGCAGCCTGGGAAGCAGCCACTCAGGGGGAGGCCACCGGCTCCAGACAGCCACGTGTCCTGGGGCCCGGTGGGACCCACTCGGGGCCTGACCCGGGGCCTGGAGGTGCTTCTGGGGCCACTGGTTCAGTGGCAGACAGGGCATGCTCTCGGCCACCTCATGGCTCCCCGTAGGGAGCCCACCCCAGGAGGGGCCACCAGCTGCCCGCCCATGGGACAGACTTGGGGACAGGGAGGGGTTGTTGTCGGAGGGAAGGACAGCTCCAAGCAGAGAGGTGACACATGATTGGTCCCTGGGCTCATGCTGGCTGTGAACTCAGGGCCTCAGCTCCTGGCTGGAGAGGCTGCTTATCCATGAAAGTGCGCCCCTGCCAGTGCCACCTGGGGGTCTGTGGCCACCACCTACTGGGGTGGAGCAAGGCATGCTGGGCATGGCGGAGCATTGTGTGTGTGTGTGTGTGCCCTGGGCTGCCTGCGGTGTGTGCACACGAGTGTGGTTGCGCTTGGTGCCAACACCGAGTGGATAACTGGCTCCTTGGCAGCGACCTCGGGTCACTGCAGAGTGCTTTTCGATCTCCCCAGGGCAGTGCCAGCTCCCATGGGTGCAACTCGAGAGTGGACTGCCTCCTTCCCCGACTGGGGGACAAACTGGCTGGTAGCGGACTGGAGGGCTCAGTCCCCGGACTGTGAGTCTGAGGGGGCTGGAGGGTGGAACGAGGAGGAGGCACCCACAACTGAAGCCCAATTGCTTTATGGGAAAGACTGGATCTTGTTTGTTTTATCCATAAGTATTCATTAGAGTCTCCTTCTGTCTAGTGCTTGGGCCCAATGCTGGGGACCCTAGCGATCCATTCATTCATTCGCTGAATGGTGTGCATCAGGAAACACTCATGTACTGGAATTAGGTAGTAGATGTCCAATCCAGTCACTCGTGTATTCCTTTGTTTGCTCTGTGGTGTTTATTGAGCATCTACTGCAAGCCAAGCTCTGAGCCAGCTGCTGCAGATGCATCAGTGACTGATGCAAGAAACCATCATCTCTTTGGTTTTCCCTGCTGTGTGTGCACATCGGGCCTGGGTCTGTAAGAAACAGGGGCTTAAGAAGCAGAGGGAAACTGGCATCCCTTCTTGAGTCCCTTTGCAGCAACGGATAGGGACCCCACTTGACGATACCACTCAGAATGTCCCAGTGTCCACCTAGAGTTGGTGGTTTTTGTTAAAGCCTGGTGCTCATGGCCATCATATACCTCCTTATGCCCCTGGGAAGTATCTGCACCAGGACAAGGAATGTCACCTATCTCCCTGGTGTAACCTTTCTCCAAGGGAAAGTGCTGTCGTTCTGATGATTAACCACTAAGCGCGTCCAAGGCACTCAGTTCGATAATTAATAAACACCAGAAGGTATGATTTGGGCTTTGCCATGAGCCAGGCACATACTAAGCATGTGAGATGCTTCACCGGACCAAATCCTTGCCCGGCCCTCAGGAGGCAGCCCTAGGCATCTCCACTTTACAGCTCCGGAAACTGAGAGAAAGGGCTGACTAGGTAGTTTGCCCCAGCCTTCGCCACTCCGAAGCCCGTGCTTTTCACCTGGGGAGCTGAGCCTTGAGAGCTCCAGCCTGGATGACACATCTGAAGTTTTCTCCACACAGAATTTGGATGGGTGATGGGAGGGAGGGTTTACCCCCTGTCCTAGCCCGGGTGACATTTTAATCCATCCTGGCCCAGATTTCAGTCCAAGTGGGATTTTAGGAAGATGGATCAAAGCAGAAGTGTGCTGGGTGAACCATGGTGGGGAGGCCACCCCCTCAGCCTGGGTTCTATTTGATCCCTTGCCCTTTGGAGATCCTGAGATCCCCTAGGGTGTCCAGGAAGCCGACAATCTTCAATATGAAGTAAAACCCAGCCGTGGGTAATATGGCAAATGAGGATACCACGTAGGTAATGACAGAAACGGACTTGAAGGTTTAGACAGGACCTGGATAAGAACTAAGAAAGGCAGACACCCAGTAAAGGGAAGGTGAAGTGTGCCCTCAGATATTCACTCATGCATTCATTCAACAAACATTCACTAAGCTCCTACTGGGTGTGAGCATTGATCTAGGCACCAGGACAGACGGGTGAATATGGAAAGCAAAACTCTTTCCCTTCCTGAGAATGGGCCCTCTGCACAGCCTGGCTGAGGAGGCCCTATATGATCAGATCAGAGCAGAGGTCTCACAGGAGTACTGGAGCCAGTGCTAGTTCAGCCAATGAATAGACAGGAAGTTCTCACCATGCACCTGCCTGGGGACTGGGCCGCAGTGATGAGCAGGTGACCCTACTATCTCTCCTGGGTCAGCTTCTCAAACTGTGGAGACACAGAGTTTGAGACTTGGGAATCTGTGCATTTGGGATCTGGGGCGGTGTTTTCAGGAACAGAGGAGTGTGGGGGTGAGGGGAGTCCACTGGGAGGGGCTCAGCAGGCCTGGGGCTCAGTAGGCCTGGCCCATGGGGCTCTGGGAAGTGAGCTGCATCTCAGAACCCATCCCACCTTGAGGCCGGCCATGTGGGCATGGCCACGTTAGGAAGGGGCTCAAGTTGTCCCCATTTGCGCCTTGGAGGAAGGGAGTGTCCTAATTCCCCAGGCAGGCCAGCAAAGACATCAGCAGCGGGGCACAGGTGCCCTGGTCTAGCAAAGGACAGCCGGGCGGGGCCTGCATGTCGCCCTCCATGGAGAATTCCTGGCCCAGTGCAAGGGACGGACCACAAGGTGGGTGCATTCCCCAGTGTGGGAAACCCAGAAGGTAAGGGAACCCAGAACGGGGCGCCAGACCCAGGGTAGGCTTAAGGAAACCGTGCCAAGGATTGGTTGGGGCCCAGATTTAAATCCTAGCGCTGCCACTTGCTAGCTGCTGACCTTGAACCAACTGCTACTACCTCGGAGCCTCTGCTTTCCTGGCTGCTCAGACCTCCGTTCTGGAAGGGGGGTAAGATCTGTGTGTCAGTCTCAGAGCCCTGGTCCTGGGTGCTGGTTGCGGCAGGCGGGGTGGGTGCTCTGCCCACCCGCGCAGGGCCTGTGTCCCTGAGGACTATCAGGGTTCCTTCCAGCCAGACCCCAGGGAACCCCAGCAGGCTCTAGGAGGGGAGCCAGGAACGGCTGCCCCTGCAGGTCTTGTACCCGGACCACACGATCCCAGAGTACAAACATCAGTGCTGCGTGTGCTCTTCAGGAGGAGGCGAGAGTGGGAGAGGGTGTGTGTGGTCAGCGGAGCTGGAGAAGGGAACAGAAGCCTGGAGCTGGCCCCGAGGAGCCCTCACTGCATCCTCTCCCCACATGTACCTCTCCCCTGTGTGTATGCGCGGTGTGTGTGTGAGAGAGCTGTGTGAGAATGTGTGTGTGACAGTATTACAAGCATGTGTGTGAGGATGAGAATGGGTGAGGTTGTGTGATAAGTGTATGTGTGTTTGAGGAGGATATGTGAGAATGTGGAGCATGTGCATATGAGTACACACTCGAGGGTTAAGAGACAACATGGGAGAGGTGTGCATGGTGGGAGTGTAGGAGTGTGTGTGTGTGTGATTGTAGGAGACAGGTCTGAGGGTGTGTGTATGAGGGTCTGTGTGTGTGTAAGGAAGTGTTTAAGAGCATTTGAGGGGCAGGGTGTTGAGCCGGCCGGAAGTGGGGTATATTATGGGCTGTGCATCCTCGGTGGTGTATCTGTGGGCATGGGGGGGTGGGTATGGACTGTCAACTTGTGTATGAGAAAGTGTGGGTGTGGGGGGTGGTGAACGCAAGTGTGATGGCCATGTGTATTATGGCTGAGAGACAGTCCGCACTTGTGCCTGTGAGCGTGTGTGGGCTCCTGTGCCTGGGAGTATCTGTGTGTACCAAACAACATATCTCATCACACTCTGGATTCTTAGATCAGAGTCTTTCACGTCTTCTCTAGACCCACCCTCTCTGCAAACAACAACCACCTCACTTGTGCACCGCACCCTACAGCTCCCGTTTGTCTTTGTTATTCCCTGGGGCCCATTATTCCCAACAGCCCGATAAGGAGGGCTTCCCCCCATGGGCACATGGGGAGACAGGCTTCCCCCGGGCTCAGAGAGAGTGGCAGTAGGGCCTCCAAGTTACAGGAAGTGGCCCACCGCCAGGTACCAGTTTTTCAAATTCAAGTGCTTGCGCGCATAGTGAGACACCTGTTCAAAGCCTACATATTATTTCTTTTCTCCTTTGGATTCTATTACTTTCCTGTGTTCTTTTTTTTTTTTTTTTTTTTATCCCATTCCTCCCCTGGGCTCCACTTTCCTTCTACTTCATTAGGGATAAATGAGGCTGTAACTTCAGCACATTCCCCCACCCCCTTTCTGCCAAATGTATTTTAAAAATCACTTTTCAATTAAGAAGCAAACTCTTCCATAATTGTTTGAATCAAAGTGGAGCTCATTACTGAAGAATATACAGCAAGGAAAAGCAGTGGGTTTGTGATGCTCGCCATGTCTTCTACAAAACAGTGAATTTTAAAGAGATATTTGATGCTTACAAACAAAAACAGAAGATCTCAAATAAAGACCAAATATTTTCACAGA